ATCATGCCACCTATCGCCCCCTATCATGCTACCTATTCCCAAAATGTAATGTTCATGTCAACAAATGGGTTGACTGTAATGAACATTGACTTGCCATTAGACTTTTACTTTTTATGTAAGCTACTGATCTTATGGCAATGGGAATTTGTTTGTAGTTTTTTTCTAAAGCTTGAGGTTTAGCCCTTTTTTTTTTTTTCTTGTTTGTGCTAAGTTCTTATACTGTAAAGCTTAATTATGTTTTTTATACTTGGAATTTTTTTAAACCAGTCTTCAAAAATGTTACTTTGAAATGTATCACTGTGATTTTTTTTATTTTAATGATTTTTTTCCTTTTTGGTTAAAGTTTATTATCTCAATGCTGTTTGGGCATTGGCTATACATACATCTTAATAAGAGCTTCTCGTAATCGTGATGTCCATGACATCTCTTAAGAAAAAAATAGTGAAGTCAAGAGAGGGTCGTTTTTGAATGAAATTATAATGAGATTAAATTGTAAAGACAATTAATTTATTCAATACAATACAGTGATTGATCAATACATATTTGTAAGTAGGAGGAAAGAAAGATGATATTTGGACTTGAATTAGTGTGATGAGAAAAGGAAGAACTTAATGATATTACTGTCTATTACTTATTACTAGCATCACCAAATAAAGTATTCCGTGGTCTCAACAGTGAGACTTTAGTTACATGATGTGTTGTTTTTATGTGGAAGTAAACTGTGGGACATTATTTGGGTACGGGTGCAGAATCTACGGAGCCGCAGGGTGGGCCCTGCAACACCTGCGGCTGAAGGGGACCTAGGATATTTAAAAGGCCCAAAGCTGTGATGTGTAAAAAAAAATGAATAGAAAATATTTTAAATTGCATTGAAGTGACCGGGGTAGGGGGGGGGGGGGCTCCGATAGTCATACATGATTCAAAAGAATAGGGAGGCATTAATTACATGGCAGATCATTGGCCATTTTTAATACAGGTTAAAATGAGTTGACAAAGGGTTAAAATATGAAATCCAAAGCTGTGATGTGTAAAAAAAAATGAATAGAAAATATTTTAAATTGCATTGAAGTGACCGGGGTAGGGGGGGGGGGGCTCCGATAGTCATACATGATTCAAAAGAATAGGGATGCATTAATTACATGGCAGATCATTGGCCATTTTTCATACAGGTTAAAATGAGCTGACAAAGGGTTAAAATATGAAAAAAACCACCAGTTTTCTTCCTTAACAGCATCAGATGACCAGAGGTGAAGACACCTCTGAGGTGAAGACACCTCTGTAAAATGAGGTGATTGCAGACAAGACTAACCATCAGTTTTTATATGAACAGAGATCACTTCGAGTGGAACTAATACAGAGAGCTTTAATATACAAGCTTAAATCTCTCTTTATGATGCACTTGTTTCTGTGTAGGTGTCGGCTTAAAGTACTCAGAGTGATATTTCTTGCTGCTATACTTCATGTACCATAATCTCCAAAGAATCAAACTTTTGCTTTACTAAAAATTCAGCACTTCTCAAACGGATTCCTCACATAATTAGAACTAGTTGTAACTAACGCTGTTCCCAGTGGTACCCTGCACAGAAGTATATTTTTTTTTTTTAAAAGTGACAGACTTGACGCATCCAATTAAAAAAAAAAAACTCGATTTGCATGGATTTTTAATCATAAGATCATTTAAATGTTGTAACATTCCCAAAGTTTGAGAACCCACGTCATGATCTATTTCTATCTTGCAGGACCCGTCCGCTTTGTAAGTGCCAGGTGACAGATGTGCCTGCGAGGCATTTTATCTGGCTCAGGAATGTCTTGTATACGTCTTTAAGTGCGGACCTAGAACTCATTTACAGCCTGGTTATGGCTCCACGTGTGGTGGTGGTACTGCTAGGGCCATGTTCCAAGAATCCATTGCTTTAGCTAAACTCGTTTTCGAATTCTTAGGAATTGCACAGTTCATTAAGCCGTTCACATGTATAACACACAAATATAACATTTTTGGACCCACCCACCTTAAAATGTTGTATAACATTTCCATTGCCCCCCCCTTTCTCCAATATTATATAACATTTCTGGCACTACTTCACCCAGTAAAACATAATAAAGTAAATAAGGGGGAAAAAACAAGCAAATTTCAAGTAACAAGCCAGACATTAGTTGTTTTGTTGGTTTTCTTTGTTGCAAAAATGTTCTAATAATTGTAAGCAAAACATGCATTTTAGTCTTTAAAAAAAATTAAAAAATAAAAACTAGGCTAATTTCGTGAATTTGAGCCGCAGAAATTAAAAAAAAAAATAAATAGAATAACTTTAAAAGAATAAGAAAATAGTTTCATTTCATTGCTTTCTGCCACCCCCATCTAACACCATATAACAAAATGATAAAACAACCCCCCCCCCCAACCCCTTTGGGTTGTAATGATATGTGCACGGCCCCTAATCTTTGTAGTGAGTCGCCAATAGTAAGTGTTGGTATGTTTGTTGGTAGCTTTTTAACAGTGTTTACACGCATCCTTCATTACAGAAGAGTTGAGTAGAGCGTCGACTGCACGAAAAAAAAAATCTGTAATCCGTACAGCCCCTGGATTTTTTAAAAAAGAATTTATTCTTATTATCACAAGCAACGCGCATGACGTAAAACATTTTTTTTTAAAATATCGCTTAACGGTTCTGACCCCGCCGCATGCTCCAGATATGCATATTATGACAACGCTACCGCGCGAGCTGGCTGGGCAAAGGAGAGCAGGGTGCAAGCTGATTTATCGTTGCAACATGAGCGTGGAGACCATTGTGGTAACCTGCCATAGTTTCTGCGTTGTCAAAAGAAGTGTTTTATGTGACATAGCAGTGCCGCTCTCACAAACAGGCGCGCTAAAAAAAAGCTGCACAACAATCCATAATTATTAAGATGGAAGAAAATCGTACCAACAATCACGAGAACAGACATCCAAATCTTCATCTGCCCGCATCTAATCGGGAAAAAAGGAAGAAGGAAAAAAAAAAAAGGCGAGAGGTGGGGAATTAAAGTTGGCAATCTTCCACAAGGTGTTAGGCTCACTAAACGTTCGTTGTTGTGGACCTGCAGCGTGGCCTCAACCATGGGTGCCAGCAGGTAGGGGCAAGGGGGGGGGGG